AACGATGCTACAGGTGTTGAAAACGAGTATTTTTTCCCCATTCTGAAAGATTGATTTGAAACGGAAATGTCATTTTCCTTTGACCGTCATGTTTTACTGGCCAAATGATTTGTTACTAATGAAGGGAAGGTCTGAGGTTTACAGGGATTTATTTAAAAAATAAAGCTTCGAATGTGAAGAATGATCTGTAGTCCATAGTGCGAGGATTTATTGTTGCGTTTTTCTCCGCGAACGAAGGTCTTGGATTTGTGCTCATGTTTGTATTTCCGTGGAGGGCAGAGATCCGTTTTCTTTCCCTGAGTGTAACGAATGATGTTGAGGGATTTTAATCCGTGTTGTTGGCGTGATGGAGTGGTGTTTCTTATCCGTTCTTCTCGAACTTTCTCGAAAAAAAAAGTTCGTGTCTGAATTTCTTTTCGAGACAGTTCATTAAAAAATTCACCGACTCCAATTCTTCTCCCCCCCCCCCCCAACCTCCACAACTCAAATTTTCTGGAGGCATTTTTGGCTATTATTTTATTGACCCAGGAAAGAGAAAAGTGATCAAAATTACCTTGATGCGTTTTGAATTGAAGTGAAAACTAATTTGGGAATTCAGGCCATGCTTCTTAGTTCAGCATCCTGTCAATTTTTTCACAAAACATTTTTAAGCCCAGAATATCATCAATTGAAATTTACTGTAATTATTCTTGCTCCCCCTCCCCCCAAATGATTGTTTCCCCTTTTCAAGTTAATTTATTCTCTGGTCCCTTGAAGTTGGTCTGGAAGAGTTTCAACTGTCCAACAACTGTAAAACATCAATTCTGCGACGCACCTTGCTTTTTGAGGCTCTGAAGCGGAAAACAAATGTTCGCTGTCAAATGTAGGATGCGTTGTCATGTGCCTCGGTTGTGTTAGAAACTGTTGTGTTCGGTGGTCCGAAAACTGAACCAGATTTACTGTAGGAGTGTAGGGTATAATTTGATATCTCCCCGAGAACCAGGGATCTGAGAGTCCTTTGAAGGTCTGACCGTGCTGCGTTGGTCGAATATAGTAGATGGGGTGAAGACGGTACTGAGCGATGCTCTTGACGTGGTGGATTAGGAAAGGCGCGAAAACTGCTCTCTCGAGGGAAAAGTCGAAGACGCGCGGAGCGTTCATCTTGAATTCCTCTGGCGAAGACACGTCGATCGAATCATTTGGTCTTATCGTTGTGTCCGGTGAATGCTGTACTGTTGTCTTGTACTGGGGAAGGTGTGTGTGTGTCGTCGTTGTTGTGGTTGGTCTTGTATTATTCGCGAGGTCATTGCCTGATCTATTGTGCGACGGAAGGAAATCGGAGTGAAGTGACGTGTCTGTTGCACTAGCGCGTGCTGATGCACGCGGAAGTTCACAAGTTCACTTTCGATGCTCCGCGCGCGGCGCTCGTAACCCTGAATCCTTTCGGTTCCGGAACCCGTTTTATTTCTGCGCCGTGGTTCATGAACGCGGACGAAAGGAAATGAAGGAAAGAACTCGCGGGTGTTCCGGTGGGAGCTAGTTTTGGATGGGTTGGAAAAAGAAATCGTGTGACGTGGCCCACTGCGCGTTACTTCGGGAGTTCCGTACAGTATGTTTCGAGGTGTTCGCCTGCCCTTCATTGCGCATTTTAAGAAATGCCATAAAATCTTGTTACAACGAATACTGTTATAACAAAATTTTTAGTATAGCACAATTTATTTTCAAAGTCTTGGCAGAAATCCTATAGGAGTAATGTATAGGTTACATGGATATACAAATCTTGTTACAACTATCCAATTCCAGTGTATCAAACTTGTTTTGAGGGACATCTTCTGATTCTTCTAATGAAAAATCCCTAGTGAAGGCAGGCTCAGTCTCAAATTTCCCATGCAAAATGTAACCGTGACTAGTTCTTCTTGGGACATGAATGGAAGGTGGAATCAAGGATACAAATTCTCCAAAATTCACGCGAACTCCCCCTCCTTCAAAAATATTTTCATGGGTATAAGAATAATGGAAGGAGGGGGTTTAAGGGGAAAAAATGAGCCCAAAAACTTGGATGTTGAAAGGGTTGTTTTGGATGCTTTTGAAACCCTACTAATGCTTAATAACTAATTTTTTTGGAACACCCCTTATGAATCTGTGCAGGGATTGCCTGGAAGAACTTGGAATTCGGCTTTGAAGAGTAAAAATTTGTACAGTATTGCCATTTGAATTTTGTTTTGAGGGTCAGTGTTTGAAACATGGAGAAACATATGAAAATACCACAAATGGGAGATCTTGAATATACGCATGTTCAATCAAAAAAAATCTTCCCAGTAGTAAATACAGTATTGAAAAAAAATTTGTTATTACAAATAATACATTGTAGCGAACGTTTTCTGAGGTCCTTGTGAGTTTGTTGTAGCAAGATTCTACTGTACCACAGATGCCACTTGGTACCGCAAGTTTTTCATTTTGATTTTTTCCGGGTTCCTGATTAGTCCCTGACGTTTGGCTTTTTCGATGTAGTAATCTTAATGACACTCTCAGAGACACGCATTTGGTTGGGAGTATTGTAAGAGTGCTTATGAAGGAATCTTTTGAAGGCAGAAATTTCGCAACGACATTATTTTTCATTTTATCCTTTTTAAAACAAGAATTCGATCTAAAAAGAAGACCAAAGACTGGACTTCGTTTGAAATATCATTTTCACTGCCAGTTACAAGCACCTTCTCAGAAACTCCTCGTCCTTGACATGGAAAGAAGTACAGTACTTTACCGTACTGTTATCTTCTGTGCTCCAGGAAACGCGATGAGAAATGCTTATTACGACATTTTGAACGCCTTAAATGATCTGACAAATGCCTGTTGGGTCATAGAAGGGCAGTGTTAGAATTTATGTCGAGGGATGCGAGAAGGGCGGAAACGTGATACGGCATAATTATTGTATGTGTCGCTGATGCAAAATCTCGTAAGATGCAAACCCGCTTCTGTCGATTCAAATCCATCTTGATTTAAACTTGTGAGCACGTCGAAGTGTTCTTCACTGAAGACTTGACATTCAGAAAATTTATTTTTTTCCGCACAGTAACTCATTTTTAGCATTCTATCTTACAAGTTGTTTATCTCGAAGTGGTCGTCTCTTGCGTTACAGGTGTCACAGTTGGTGTTCTCAGCGCCCATGTATAGGACGCAAAGTTGTCCCGGGATGCTGCCGTCGGAGGACTCGTCGTTGCGTTCGACTGATGGCGGCGGTAGTGAGGGAGACTCTGATTCCGACATCAGGCTATTTCGGCGTCGGCGGCGGAGAGAGCGCATTGACTCTGACATGACCGGTGCTGCGAGACATTACGACCTGTGTTTCGACCGCAGCAAGAACCGGAATCGGTATGTGCTCTTTTGAATACTGTATTGAGGACGCTCCGTTCTAGTTTTTGAATGTATCTAGTACAGTCAAATTCCGATAAGATGCCACCATTATCTCAGAGCAATTTTGGCGGTTTTTGAATATTCCATTTTAAATTGTCTAATAAAAAATACTCGATTTTCCTCCATTAGTCATAGAGATACAGGTTTTCTAGTAACTTCCGTAATTTCCCGAAGAGTAATCCTGGATTACTCTTTCAGAAAATTAATTTTGCTGCATCAATTTATTCAAATTTTAAGATTAGGTCAACATATTGTTCAAAAAATGCTGTAAAAAATTCGTGTTAGAGGGTTGAGAAGGGAAGCCTTTGAGTTGGAGGTTTTCAATGCATTGTTTTTGAGGGAATTGAGTCAGAGACTTGAAAACGATCCGAATTAAGGAGATATTTGACTTAGAAAAGGTTCGAATCATCGAGGTTCAACTGTAATTTGTGGCGGTGCACTTGAAAGTGTAGTACGAATACCGGTACTTAGTTTCATGCCCCTGCTACAGCTTGAAATTTTTTTTTTTACTTGTAAGAAGTATGGAAACCTTTCTATCTTACATTTTGGACGAAGAGCATTATTCAAAATATTTTGTTAACGAGTCTCATTACTTCTCGAATTTTCTGTACCATTTCCGTCGAGCATTCACTGAGCACATGCGAATTGCCCAACGTACCCTGAGGGCTATCTGGCTCCCAAGCAAGGAAACCCCGCTCTTACACAGTTGCACGTGTTATTGTTCTCTCCGACAGGTATTCGTGTGGGAACTTGGAGTTCGACAGTTGCCCGGACATCCCGCACTTCCGCGGATGCCAGAGCGCCTTTCCGTCGCCGCACGGTAGCTCATCCTCGCTGTCGATGTCGGCGGCGTCTCGTTCGCACCGGCCGCCATCAATCATCGAAGTCTCCTGATGCCGTGTCCCGAAAAAAGAAGCGTTCAAATGTCGTCAGAGACAAGTGCTGTGTGTGTGTCCGTGTCCGGGTTATGTGCTGAAAGTTTGCGTTCTGAATCGCTGGCTTTGCGGTTGTTCCAATTTGAGATCAAACAGTGCATTCTTCCCCTTTTGCATGAAGGCTGTGCCTCTTGGAATCAGGAGGGAAGGTTCCTATATACTTACTGTAGTCGGGTCCTATTGCATTTTGTGACTTTGACGTAGGAAAAAATCGACTTAAGGAGGCTGTTGAACCTTTAAAAAACTACAACCTCCCTGAGTAAAATTTTTTTCAAGTCCCCGTCTGCATTCTCTTGAAAAAATTGCATTAAAAACCTCCGTAACTCAAAGGCTTTTCCTCTCAAACCTCTCTCAGTGGAATTTTCTGTGGCCTTTTGGCTATTTTTTGCTTGACACAAGAAAGCAATAAAAATGGAATTTGATGTGTGTTGAACGGAAGTGAAAGACTGAATTGGGCAAATGAACCCCTCCCTCCAAGTTGAGCATCAGCATCCCTCAACTGATTTGAGAAGCAATTCAAGGTCCAGAATATCACCATGTACAATTTTTTCAATTCTTCTATGTTTCCTGCAACAAAAATTCTTTGTTCCATAACTCAAACCTTTATAACAGAAAACCTCCCAAGTCAAAAGCGAATTCAGTTGAGCCTCTCCAAGTCAAATTTCAATTACCATGAAAAAATTGACTAAAGGAGGTTTTCTGTTATAAAGGCAAGCATATTTATTGTGGGAAATATAGAAGAATTGCACATAACTCCAATTTCCCCAAGTTGAATACTGTACCATCAACCCTCTCTCAAGTCAAATTTCAAGGGACCATCAGGAAAATTGACTTATGGAGGTTCAAGTTTTCCAGGTTCAACTGCATCTTAACCCTTGGACAGTTGAGGGTTCTTTCTCAGTGCGCAGCAGAGTCAGGATTTTTCTAAGGGGCAGCACATTTCAGTCTGACCCAAGGTCACTGAAATGCACCAAGGTTGAGGAGGCCTAAGTTTGAAAAAATTCAGGAGGCAAAATTTCTTTTGTTTGCAGGGTTTTCCTATGCAAATCCTATGCTAGGAATGCAGGCAAAAATGCAACCCAGTGAAGGATTTTTTTTCAATTATCATTGAAAATTTTCTGCGGAATGAGAAAAAATCTTGGACTTTTTCCCAACTGAGGCCCTGGTACCAAAGTATTTTTTTAAAATTCCCAGTGTCCATTGGCACACAATTTTGAAAAAATATCCCAACTTTGCCACACAAGGGTCAATTATTATTTTTTGGTTTGTTTTACAGTCTTACCTACTTGTAGAAATGATTAAGTGGGGCAAGCCCAGTATGCATGTCTGTGCTGGAGGAATGTAACCTGGCTCGTTTCGACCCGCGGGTCAAGTACTCCCAGGAGTTCAAAGTTCCTCAATGTCAGGTCAGTGGAGCTTCCTGTTTTTTATTTGTGTCGCATCCTCGAGAAATCTCATGTCGTCTTTGCGCCCTCGCCTTTTTTTTTTTTTTCTTACTTGAAAAAGAAAAAAATTTATATTTTTGCTCGCCGCGTGATCCAAGTTCTTTTTCGATGGACAAGAGTTTTCTCTATCGTCCTGGATTGACATGAAATGAAATTTTTTTTTTCGTTTTATGTCGCCACGTTGGGCGTTTAATTGCGTCACTTCATATGAAACTCACTAATTATTCGCGAATTTGACTCTCAATGTAAACGTTGAGAAGCGTTTTTGGTGTTCGCGTGCAAAGCGTTGGTTGATTCAATATTCAGCAGTCTAAAGAAGAAAAAAAATCTACAAGATATCATCATCAATACGGTGAATTTTTTTTTATAGTTCACTGCATCACCAAATATTATTCTCAAAATTTTCTGAATTTATGAGCGGACAACATCAGGAAGCGCGTGAAGCGCAGTCTAAAAATGATCATTTGTTGACATTTTAGTACAGTAAATTTTATTTGTGTTTTTTTAAGCACCAAATCTTATCGCTGAAACGCTTTTTTGGATTATGAGGAGGAAACTTCTTGATAAATTCTTTGAAAGAGATTTTGAATTATTTGCGTCCTACATATAATAGGAACCTGGAATTTCTGAAATTGAAATTATGGGTGCGGAACACAAGTCCAAAAATTACCGCAGAATATCGCCGAGAACACAACAACTGATGTTGTCAGTATGAATTGCACACTTCAAATGTCCAACTTGGATTCAATTTAGTGACCAAGAAAACTTTACAGAAGGTCATTTAGAGATGACCTTTCATAAATAAAACAGGAAGGGTAGAAATGAATTGACCTTGGAGGTCATAGAGGAATGTCTCCTTGAGGAGAAGGCTGGGAGTTTTGGCACCCTTGGGTTCCCACAAGATTAACGGGAGGATGAGTTTGGCGCCAGCCAAACTCATCCTCCGATTCTAATAAATTTTGCTACATGGCCTATCAGTGTAACCAAACAAGAAAATACGCTGGTCCTCATCTTGCATATTGAAAAAGGAAGAAAAAATCCTTAAATAAAAGGAGGTGCACAACATTGATGTGTGCCAACGAGAAAATAAATGTACGAACGACGTTAACTTTAGGCTAGGGTCTGTTGAGCCCGACATACAGAGAACCAGGCGTGGTGTTCACGCGAGGTGTTCAACCGGGCCCTGGCTTGATGAATATTTGACGCTAAAACGATGAATGGGAAGACGTTCCTTCTCTCTCGGGGGGGACTATTTCCCAATTTCCCCCATTGCTGAAACACCTCTCAAAGAGGAAACGAAAAATTAGCAGCAGAAAAAATAATAATAAAAAAAGAGCTGCGTGGAACAGTGTGAACCCGCAGACGCATTTGCAGATATTGCACTGCTAAGCGTGTATGACTGGAATTTTTTGGAGGCCTTTCAGGGGATTATTTTATTGACACGGAGAAAATTAAATGCATTAAAAATGTATGTTAAAAGGAAATGAAAGGCCTATTGGGGAAATAAACCCTTGCGTCCAAGTTCGAGCATCCTGCCAACTCTTAAGAAACAATTCAAGATTCATAATAAAAACAGTTAAAATTTCCTGCAATTCTTCTTTCTTCCCCCGAACAAATAAATCTATTCATAATTGATTCTTTTTTTGCAATTCCCTGTCTTTATTTGCTACTCGAAGGTTTCCCCCTCAAACCTCCGTGAATTGAATTTTCTGCATGCCTTTTAGGGGATTATTTTATTGACGTAGAGACAATTAAATGCATTTAAGTTTAAAAGAAATGAAAGGCCTATTGGGGATATAAAACCTTGCGTCCAAGGTCGAGCATACTGCCAACTCTTGAGAAACAATTCAAGATTCTTAATATCAATAGTTGAAATTTCCTGCAATTCTTCTTTCTTCCCCCGAACAAATGTATTCATTTATAATCGATTCTTTTATGCAATTCCCTGTCTGGATTTCCTACTGGAAGGTTTTCCTCCTCAAACCTCTGTAAACCGAATTTTCTGCATGCCTTTTTGGTGATTATTTTATCGACACAGGAAAGTGGAAGACAATAAAATGTATCTTTATGCGTTTATGCAGGAAGTGAAAGACTGATTAGGCCATTGAACCCTTCCGTCTAATTTTACCATCGCGTCAACTCATTTATGACGCAATTAATCTTTCTCTCCCCCCCCCCCCTAAAATGCTTGTTGCCTCAAGTCAAAACTTCCTTTACTCGAATCCGCCGGTCCTTAGAAATTTGACGTGAAGAGGTTCGACTGTTTATGAAATACTGCAACCACGTGCATGTAAAATATCATGCAGCTGGATCCATTCAATAGACCCAAAGAGCATCAGTGGAAATGATGACGATGATGATATGATACAAGGCTTAATACCGAAGAGCAAATTGGGATAAAATAACGGGCCATTATAAATTTTTCAAGCCTTAAATTCCACCCCCAGAAGAAACTGCTGGTGGATGAGGTCTGTCTGATCTTGGGCACATCAGCAGCAGCCTCCGAATATTGAGACTACTGCGCTGATGACCAGCACAGCTGATGTGGCTCCACCAGCACCGGCAGCAATAGCACCCGAACGGGCCAAGTGTGATGGCACGTCCGCATTGCAGCCACCGTAGAGACACCGGAGAAAGTCCTGCTTCCGGCTTGGGTCAGCCAGCACCCGTTTGCCCAGTTTCCGCTGCGCCGTGTGCCAGCACATGCGTGCCACCTTTTCTTCTTTATTCTGCTGCTGCTGCTGCTGGTTGCGACCAAGCACTGTCAAGCAGCCCGAGGGGCAGATCCAAGTCCGGATCTTGTATCTGCGTGCAGTACACAGAGTGATGTACAGTATGCAGTAGTGTGTTTTGCTTTCTATGCTGGTTATTGTTGTTGTGCAGAAAGCACTGTCAAGCAGCCCGAGGGGCAGATCCAAGTCCGGATCTTGTATCTGCGTGCAGTACACAGAGTGATGTACAGTATGCAGTAGTGTGTTTTGCTTTCTATGCTGGTTATTGTTGTTGTGCAGAGTTGTAGAGTACAAGGTGGTACCTATAGCGTTTCAGCCTCCCGAAAATCGACGGTTGAATTTTGCTGGGAGGTGTGTTGTGCAGTGCAGTATAGTGTGTTTTACTTTTTAATGCGTATCGTTGTGCAGGGTACAGGTGATACCTTGCAATTCAAAATTCGCGCAATTTGATGGTTAAAATATATGGGAGGTTGAGTCGCAATTTAACCTTTGCGCCGAAATTCGACCTGCTTCAGCCAGTTTTCTAGCATTTTTCCTGCTGCTCTCACTTAATTTTTACACAGTTTCTGGTAAATTGGCCATTTTTCAATTTGACCCTTGCCCAGCAAGAGATTAGTGACAAATTGTGGGGTTTTACCTGGACTAAATTGTGAACCCGTTAACAAGGGTTGTCCCGCTTGAGCGTCACCTTTGATTATTTCTAGAGTAAGTATGACAATGAATAAAATATTGAGAAAGCCCATGATGTTGTAAGGTTCTGGGATTGTTTTTCACCTTTTTAAAAATATTTTACAATATACTGGGTGATGATAAGTGACAGCTTTCAAGTTATGGCCAGAGTTCTCCACCCATGTCACAGGGTGCTAAAAATTTGTCAAGCCAGCTAAAAAATTTGAAACATTATTGTTTCAACCATAATGATTTCTGCATTTTAGATAATGGTTAAAAAACAAAGAAATTTTATTTTCAGCAGGCCTGACAAATTTTTAGTCCTCTGTGACATAAGTGGACAATTATATGACCATTGCTGGAATTTTTCCACTTATCATGGAGTAAATGGAAAAATGCTTGTAAAATTCCAAAAAAATTCTGCAACCCAAAAACATTATGGGCAATGCCAGAATTCTTTTAAATCCATGTCTACTTGAGAAATAACATTTGCGCCCAAATTGAACAATCCTTGTATCCAAGTTCCATTTTGCATATATGTCACTTTGCAAACTCTTCCTAAAATGAGGTGATGACTGATTTTAAATTCAAATAGTATGAGTCATAGTGAGAATGAAGTGCTGCGTATAGGACAAGTGTATACAGTGTGTATTGTTATCCTTTTGATAACAGCACAGTATCTCTTTTGAGGAACCAGATTTTTACACAGAATACAGTATATCTATGTACAGTATAGAAAATAGTGAAGTGTCATCATCATCATCATCATGAGGATGAAATGTGGAGATAAAGTGCTGTCTACATGCAGAGGTTTGGAATATACAGTGTAGAGGCATGTAAATGGATGGATGACAGACTTGTGGACCCAGTCCTTGACACTGTAGTCACCCCTTGGTGGACACGAGTCCACCACATTGCCAGCAGAGTCCACATCACCAATTCTCTAATATGGAAACCACCATGATGGAAGCACAATTTTGCACACTAAAAAGTACCATATTTTACAATCATGAGCTGAATGCTTCCAGCTTCACATTTATGTTCATAGGTTGTAATAATAGCTTTTGCAAATGTATTAATAAGATCCTTTCCTGATCTTGGAGGTGGGATTGGAACAAGAAAATATATGAGGTCAAGTGGCTCACTAATGTTCAATTTTCACTTGTCTATTCAACACTTGAGTTTTCTTGCCCACCATTTTGTGGATGTCCATCAGACATCCTGTAAATTTTTTTTACTGAAAGTCAGTGTTGGTACTTTCTGATGGGACACTCCTGGGATTTAAAAAGAAGGCAGAATAATGGGACAGGAATGAACATGGAGGGCAGAAATGAGTGCAATAATAGGACATGCACCCACCAGCTGCCTGCCATTGATGCTGTCCCTGCTGCTCTTGGCATGTTTCGCTTCCTGCCTGCTGCTGACTCCCTATCACCCATGTCTGCCTCATCATCACCAAACAACTTGGCCATGGCACCTGGCGACCCCTGCAACTGGTCCAGGACTTCATCAAGGCCAGATGGGGCCTTTAAATCACTGCGTGCACCACCTGCAGGCTCAGCATCAGCCACTGCAGCAACAACCATGGGCCTGAATGAGATGATGCTCAAAATGGAGGTTGAGGAGGAAGGCAGCACAAGAACACACCAGCTTCCTTGGCACTGGTGGCAATGGATTAAGACAATCAGTGAATTAGACAATTTTCTGCTGATGAACCTTCACCGCCATTTCTGCATTTCCCACCTAACCCTAACTGCTATCCACTCAAGACCAATCAATGCATGGCACAGTGAAGTATTCCTGAGGCCTGTACTATGACCATCTTTTCCCATATACTCATCAGTTTAACTCAAAAATGAGACTCTGTCCGAAAAAAAACAAACCGCGAAATGCATAGAAAAAAGACAATCACAATCAAACCTCTTGAAGTTGAGTTTCAAGGGACTATCCAAACAAAATTTAGTGAGGGATGCTTTGAGTTTGGTGGAAACAAGCGTTTTTGTTAGAAGGAGGGAAGATATAAATTCCTAAATATTTATTCAAAATGGATAGATTTTCCTCAAAAGCCAGAAAGGAAGTAAATACAATTTTAAACCCATCAAAACACCTTCATCTTTCTCACATTTTTAAAAATCCTGAAACCCATTCCTGAAGATAAGAATATGGAAAGATTACCTCATGGTTTTCCCCTGATTTATATCCTAGAATTCTGAATTTCCATCCTTGTATCCTTGGAATGCAGGACATCCTTCTGGGCTGCATTTTCCCTTTTATGGGAACAGGCGATACGATTATTTTTGCTTGTCAGACAATTTAAAGTACTGTATTGCGTCTGAGGGAAATTTGCTTTGATAGTCCTTGAAAATGGGTTATGACATCAATTTTTGTTCAGCAAGTGTGAATTACAGGTTAAATGATCTGTGCCTATGGGAGAAATGCTGAAAGTCCTCAAAATAGGTCTTTCATCTCAATTATAGTTCAAAAACTATTTACCTGTTGATTATTAATAAATACTCCTGGCTATTTCAAACCTTCTTTCATCATATCTTCAGTTAATTTACGACGCAAAAAAATGGAGGCCAAGTCAAAATTGCAAAAGTTTAATCCCAATGTCAGTTTCTTCTGTTTTCAATTTTGCGTCATCAATCATCCGGGGAAAACATCATGAAAAACCTTTGACATGACTGTGGAATCGTTTTTTTCTCGTTACTTAATGTTTACCCTAGCAATGGGCATTTCCATCAAGTTTGGGTCTGATAGTTTATGTTCAAAACTGATCGGATGACATGATGATTGTCTTTTCCTGAAGAATGTCCCACAGAACTTAATGAAAAAAAATCCAAGTTGCCCCTGGCCCTTTTTCGGTAGGAATGAATGAATGAATGAACAGAACACTTAATTTGCCGCTCTTCAGCGTTCACAAGGTTCAATCAAGATTTCCACAACCAAACCCTCCTTCCCACCCCACCCAAATCCACTCAATGAGATTTAATCATTTCAGAGACATTTAATCACTTCGGCGGGATATGGGGGTGTAAATGGGTTCCAACACACCAGCAAGGTGTGTGTGTGCAGAATCCATGAGGGGTGGGAGGGGTTTTTTCTCTCCGAGGTCGGCTGGGAATTATTTATGTGCCTCGGGATGCGTTAAAGAGTGGAGTGTATATAGTACTGTACTGTTCTGTGGTGCTGTGTTCTTGCTTGTCTTGTTGAGATAGTATCATCCTTGTTGCCTTTTGATGTCGGAATAGAAATAGGCGGGAAAAAATGCGGAATTCCAATTACAGCCCTTGTCCCGGTTTGAAGACGATTCGCGAAAACAGATTTTCTCGCGGGAAAGATTCGTGCTGTTGCAGATACTGTATTTCGCTTTGTAAAAAACAAAAAAACAAATCGGGATTAATGATCAGCATGATAATTAATGAATATAGATTGAATCTCTCTACAACGACTTTCTATGCAAAAAATGCATCTGTGCAAGTATTTGTGTTTTTGGTAGCATAGGGTTCTCTCCGCATTTTATAGAGGTTCTCTTCAAGGAAATTCATCCCTACAAAGATTTTTTTTCATGGTTCCTTGACTTTCGTTGAAGATGGAGTTCACCTGTATTTGATTTGCTGCCATGTTGTTATTTTGTCGATTGTTTCGAACCCTTTTAAAGTTTTGATATTCTTCATTATGTTGAGCATGAATTTCCTCGTTTTTTTGGAGCGAGTTTTTTTTCTAAAGCAGTAATTTATGCTTCAAAAAGCGTACGAATTTTTGAGACCTTTCGTGGAGCAATTTTTCATTATGCTTCCGGACTCCTTCTGATTTGGTTTCCATGGGTCTCAAAATCGTTGAATTCTATGATGATTTGAAATCAGATAAGAGTGAACTGCTATGAATTTGATGTCGTTCATGACGTAATGAGAAGTGTCATATTCGAAGAATGTGGGAAATCGTACAAATGTTTTGGTCTTACCGCAAAATCACTCGGGTCGGGAACCAAGAAAAAAAAAAAGATTTAAAAAAATAGTAACAAAAAATTCCATGGGGTACTGGGAAACACCTGCAACCTTCTGTTCCTCACTTTTGATTTCTTCCTCCTTTTTCCATTAAATACGGTGTATAAATATTTGCTAATGTCACATGTTATGCATTGATTTCGTATCTTCGGTTAATGATTTGAATCAAACAACTGTTTACGAACCATAATAAATCGGGTTCGTGGAATCGAGGAAATCGAAGATAAAGTTTAAAATTCTATCCGTGAATGATTTTTTCAAGACTTCCCACGTTTTTTTTTCGTGTGTGGAAGAAGAAGGAAAGTTGTCTAAATAAAGGAGCAGTGTTACAGTATTTTGTCTTTGTATTTCAGTTTTCTTCCTCACAAGCAGAAGAGAGTCCTTGTGAATTAAAATGCAAATTCTTTTTCGAATCAAGAAGGGGAACGATGCTTATATGAACAAATTAAAACATTTTATGTGAAGATATCGCTGAGAAATGACGGGAATGCATTTTCAACCATATTAGTAACTTGACAGTACAGTAATTACAGTTCATGAGCCGGGGTGATGCTCGGAACCTCAGATCAATTCGACTCATCAAGAGCAATTACGGAAGCAATCAGCGATAACAGATGAACCTTATCGGTGACACGAAATCGATCAACCCTGCCAGTGTGTTGACGCGTCGAACGCAATAGCGTTTTTATTGTTCTGCTGGAAATCGCGTAAACAAAGGTGAGCTAATTAAGAAATGAAAAAATCCACTTTCATTTCATTTTTTCACATTTAATTGCGGCAACTTGTATGAGCGGCAGGTTATTTCTGCGGTGAGTTGGGCTTGCGGCGGGTTGTCACAGCGGCAAGAGATGACAGCGGCAAGTCAGTTGTGCGGCAAGTTTGGGTGCGGCAAGCACAGCTGCGGCAAGTACAGGTTTTTTGAAGCGAGTTTATTTTCTAATGCAGTAATTTATGCTTCAAAAAGCGTACGAATTTTTGAGACCTTTCGTGTGAGCAATTTTGTGTATGCTTCCGGACTCCTTCTGATTTGGTTTCCATGGGTCTCAAAATCGTTGAAATCTATGATGATTTGAAATCAGATAAGAGTGAACTGCTGTGAATTTGATGTCGTTAATGACGTAATGAAAAGTGTCATATTCGAAGAATGTGGGAAATCGTACAAATGTTTTGGTCTTACCGCAAAATCACTCGTGTCGGGAACCAAGAAAAAAAAAGATTGTACAAAAAGTAACAAAAATTTCCATGGGGTAATGGGAAACAACTGCAACCTTTTGTTTGTTACTTTTGATTTTTTTCTCATTTTTCCATTTGGAAAAGTGCATAAATATTTCAGATGTCACATTTTATGCATTGATTTCGTATCTTTGGTTAATGATTTGAATCAAACAACTGTTTACGAACCATAATAAATCGGATTCGTGGAATCGAGGAAATCGAAGATAAAGTTTAAAATTCCATCCGTGAATTATTTTTTTTCGAGATTTCCCGCGTTTTTTTTTTCGTGTGTGGAAGAAGTTGAAAAGTTGTCTAAATAAATTAGCAGTGTTACAGTATTTTATCTTTAGTATTTCAGTTTTTTTTCTCACAAGCAGAAGAGGGTCCTTGTGAATTAAAATGCAAATTCTTTTACGAATCGAAAAAGGGAACGACGCCAATATGAACAAATTTAAAAATTTTATGTGAAGATATCGTTGAGAAATGACGGGGATATCCTTCCAACCATATCAGTATCTTGACTGTACAGTAATTACAGTTCATGAACCGGGTGATGGTCGGAAGGAGTCTAGTTAAACTGAGTAGTTCTCGTTAATGCCTTCGTTAGTCGCTATTGTGTACTTGGAATAGCCACTGTGCTTTAGCTAGTTGGGACGGTCACACAACTGCGCAGCTTGCGTTATCGCAAAATATTGTTCTGCTGGAAATCGCGTAAACAAAGGTGAGCTAATTAAGACCCAGGGGGGGAAGGCAAACAGTTGGGCCCCCAGACCCAAGGCATTCTTACCGTACCATAATTACTTGGACGTAGCTAGGAGGGAATCACAGCCCAAACGCACTCCATTTGTGAATAGGATGGACTCTTCTTCTTAGTGTCCGAATAATTTGTGGGAAGACGAAAAAAAGTCTCGACGGAATTTTATTTATTTTTTGGAACTACTTGCTGTAAAATGGAAAATCTAATTGATTGAAGCCGTGCCAAAATTGTTGAAAATATGCGCGTTTAAAGTGGTTCCTTCCTGTGGGGTGAATTTGCAGTTATTTTTATTTTTTTATTTCTTCCTTCATTTCTGGCCAAGTCGGAGAATATACGCATTGGAAGACTTCAGTGAACTCAAAAATCCTGGACGTTTCATCTGTCAAACTCCCTGGAATTGCACAAGAATTTGCGTCTTCATCGGAAAAAATTCGTATCCTAGAAATATTTACTCATGTCAATAAAATTTACAATCAAGTGAGAAAGAAACTTAGCGACCAGTTAGATCAGCTTTTTTTTTTTAAATTTATTCGTGGGCCAGTGCAAGTCCGCAGCATACGCATTTTTCATACCTAATTTCTATTTGAAGAATCAAATTGTTTCCCCC